AATAATATTCCTCATAAAAGTGAATAGAGTTAGGTGGTAGATTCTTGAAATTTCTAGAAAAAAAAATTTCGATGGGCACTCTAATATTAAATTCTAATATCTAAATTCTAGATTCTCTCAAGAGGCCACCACAATCTCGACAAAAAAAATATTTGTGGTAAACAAAATACTTCTGAACAGTAATGATCGCTTAGGGAGCGAAGCCCCACATTTAAAGACCAAGTGGAGTAGGACTAGGCTTCATTTGGCATTTCTAATTGGCGTCAGCCAGCTGGCACAGAAGCGAAACGACTGGCGCGCTTTGTTGAAATCGGCGAAGTCGCTTAGGCAATTACAGTACCAAATTAGAAAAAAGCGTGGAAAATTCAAATATTCGTTTCTAGAACTTTGGCCCTGGTGTTTGAGAAATCCTATTTTAAAAGCGCCGATTTTGTTATCAAAAGGAATAGAGAATTATTACTAGCAAATTGGAAACGACTATTAAGGGAAGCAGGTTTGGTTAACATATCGCACACGATCTTCAAAAGTGACACAACTCAAAATTTGGCATTTTTGAAATTATACACTCTAAAAATCTGCACAGAGCTTTTATTTACCTTTCAGCCAAATCTGAATCAAATGTTTGTTATAATTTGTTGAAAAAACCTAAGGTAAAGTCTCTCTTGCCCATATGATTAGCATATGATATGAAATAGTTTTTTCGCATTTTCTGACGAACGCGTAATTTTGATTTGTGTCACTTTTGAAAATCGTGTTCGATATGTAGATACTTACATACATACATACATATGTATTTAAATCAAAAGGACTTCTCTTTCTTTCAGTGGGACTGATTCATCAAAAATGTCGTAAGCGTATTTGTAATTGTGAAAAGCGCAATTTAATTAAAAAATTTCATAAGATTGCTGCGAATTGCAGTGTAAATTTTATATAAAACGGCTAGAAAAACATTTCAGTCATAAAAGTACGCTTTCTTACAAAATTTGCACAAAACAGCAACCCCCAACACCTACTATATTAGTGCGATAAGTACATTAACCTCACTCAATCCATAAATATTTACATGCATACAGTGTACGATGTATATACATCCATATTTGCCCACAAGTCGCCTTTATAAGCGCTCAACATCGTGCTCATGCGAAACAACAACAAAGTCACGTGCAAGATAGCACGCCAATACAAAACATTTCAGAGAGTTTTTATTGCCCATACTGTGGGCAAGCATGTCCGACAATGGGCGACTCTCAAAAGTAAACAAAAAACATAAACAATATATTTTTAAACATACATATATTAATCATAAATGCATTTGTATATTCAGAAGAGAGAGAAAGAGAGAAAGATGAATCGCGTATGTGTGAGTTTGGCAGCGGCACAAAGTGGGTCATTTGTATGCACAGTGAAACCTCGATATAACGAAGTTGAAAGGGTTGGTTGGACAGATGATTCGTTGCACTTGTAGAATATCAATACATACATCGAAAAATGGAAAATTTCGGAAAAAAACGTTACAAGCATAGTTTCGTTTATTTTCTTTAACGGAACTCTAATCGCCAACATATTCTGAATTCACTACGTGAAGGGGTCTGAGTCAACACTTCGTTATATATAGACATTTGTTAACGGGAATTCAACCGTCTATATATTCCGTAGGTTTTCATGCTCAATATTTTCAGGCGACAATATTTTTCAGTGGACAACCGAAATTTTGTTATATGTATTGAGTTTTTCAGTTCATAAAGGTTCGTTATTTCGAGGTTCCGCTGTACTAATTGGACATAAGTTCGCTTTCGGATAAATTTCGACGCACTAAAAGTCACGTCATACACGTCATACCACCACATAAATTTGGAAAATTGCATCAACAGGATATACTACATACATACATACATACGTATGTACCGAGCATGCGAACGAGCGTGCATGAGTACAGGTTTTGCGAATATAAAGTACAAAGTACGTCGATTTCCTCACGTACGCCGGCTTAGTGACCTCCGGTGAAGTTTTTACACGGCTGAACTTACCACAGGTATAGAAACATACACACATATGTATCTACATACATACTTACATATGTACATACTCCTATCTTAGTGACAACATTTTAAGGAAATTATATTGAGTAGTTGAGGTGATGAATGACTTGATTAAGGCCACTGATAAAAGTGCCTATATCTGTACATACATATGTTTGTATGTATAATAACGTGGGCTGAAAACCCGTTTTTTTAAACAAAACAATTTGTGTGAAATATGACAATATTTGGTCAATGTCTTAGGCTCGCCCAATACTTCGATTCTCCTCAAAAGAGGTTCATATACCAAACCATTTCGAAGACAATTGCAATTTTAGTAAAAAAATGTATTAAGTAATGCATTTATTAAATTTTATTTTTCGAGCACATTGAACTTTGATGGACCTGGGCGAGCCTAATAGTGATATTGACGAAAAATTGTCAAATTGTTTTTTACAGCATAATGAACCATATTTTTGCTACTAACAATCAAAATTCTAAAAAAGCAGATTTTCGGCCCACGCTACTATTCACACAAACATATGTATGTACGTGTATATATCTAATATGGAGAATTTCCAAATTGGTTTCTTCGTTATTACCCTGCAGGGAGTGACGTTAGCTTATACCTAACTTTAGTCTGTTTACGCGAACCCTAGTGCTAACTATTAACTGTATATTTTATTCGAAAAAAGCTGACTACATTTGTTGGGCGATGACCGCAAAATGGCAGACTTGGATACCTCTGCATTACATGTCAATTAACTTGTAACTAACTACTTTTGGACATAAATTATCAATAATAAACATTTTATAATTTTTTTATTTATTTTTATTTTTTTTACATTTTTATTTTTTTAATTTATATTCAACATTGCATATTTGTTTATTTGTTTACATATTCTGCAGTAGGTGGCCCTATATTGAAATTACGTCAGCCATAACGTCAAAATGCTACTATAAAATTTCGAACTTCATTTTATTTATCCTGAATTCGAAAAAGAATTTGTGAAGTGCAGAAAGAAATGTATTCAAAGTATTTTTTTTGTACTATGAGGATTCTTAAACAGAAACTTGCAAAGAAAACAAACCGCGACTGCATCTGCATGACGGCTTTAGAACTCACTTTAAGGGCCGGTTGTTCAATGTCTGGTTATCACTACTTGCCGGTTAAACATCATTATCAACGGCTTCGACATCATGCATATAACATGTGATCCATAAAGCAGTTGTTGTATCTAACCGGAGCTTCTACCTCCGATTTTTGCTAATCAGGCATTGAACAACCGGCCCTAAGTTGGTTTTGTCATAGCTAATTAATAGTGAGGTATTTATCGAAATCCCGCCAAAAAGCTAATTATAAGTTGGTAATTTTTAGCAATTGATAATTTTTCACTGCAGGGTACCATTACTTATCAGCAAACCTTTGTGGGCAAATACACGTTGTATGCATTTACATATGCATGTATGTATGTATGTATGCATTCGTGCTTCTTGTTATCTATTTTATCATTGCGCACTCAGGAGTGACTTTTGTGGTAAAATAACGCCTAATTTGGATTAAAAAAAGGGTAAATTATTATATAACATAATTGTCTTTAAATTATGGCTAATAATTCAGTATTTAAACTCACATCCGTTATGTTTGATCACTTTGTATTTTGCGATCCGTTAATATTTTCAAATAAAGCAGTGCCACTGAAAAAAGAAACGCCCTTATCGACTTGAGTCTCAACTGCTTTATCGGTTAAAAGCAGTGCTGATCTTTATTTGAAAGCGTTGCATACTTTTTGGGTGGGTATGTTAGTGAAAGGAAAGTGTTTAAAGCCCAGTTATGAGTACTTAGCATTGCATGAGGGTTAACTGGCTCGAAAATTGGACAGTCTAAAGTTCGGGAGGGCTTTGATTTCGTCCCTGAATGGACAAATTACTGCGCCACCGAAATGGTTGCCAGTCGCGCCTTCTCTGCCTACAATCCCTCAAGAGAGAACTGGGTGGGGAGAGTTAACTGTAGGAAGCGAGCAGTGAACTTCTTCACGGATGGACAAAAACTAGGAGGCAGAGTTGGCGGACATATCTTTTGCTGGGAGCCCTCAATCAAAACTATATTCAGGCTTCCAGACTTGTGTAGTGTCTTTCAGGCTGAAATAGCCGCCATAAAGGAAGCGGTAGACTCACTTAAGGTGCAGCTGGAACGTCTCGGCCCTCCTGCGGTTCACTCATGTAAGCTCGTCGCGCGTTGGACTAGGACTTGCGCAATTGCAAGATACTTCTGGAGAGAGCCGAGGGCGGCCAATGGAGCTCCTTTTGCTTGAAAAGCCTCAGTTCTCCTTATTGAAGGGGGTTCTGAGAGGCCGTTGTGCGATGGGTATTCTCGCGGTAAGCTTATTCGTAATTTCGTAGTCGGCTCACAGCGTTTCGTCGGCCAAATTAATTCAGCTTTCAAGGACCATCTCTGAATTGTCCAAGTGCGTCCCTTGTCTGGGGCAATCACTATAACTAATCTAATCTAGGTTATTCTTTAACTCAAATAAAACATGTTTTTTTTGTTGTATCTGTAAAAAAAGAAATTATTTATTTATTAGCAGAAATCTATTATTCTTTGTGTTTTTCATTTAGTTGGATGAAGACATCTCTTTTCAGCAGCAGCTATTTATCTTTTGCTTCTTCTATATTTTTTCTGTGGGGAAAAACATTATAAAACTTATAAAAAGCTGAAAAAAATGGAAATATTGTCATAACACAAATACATATGCAGTAATAGTAAACTATGAATAAGCAAATATGTGTATGTAAAATTAATACGTAAATTAAAAAAAAAAAAATTACGTCAAAATTAAAGTAAGATAAAAATATTTTGTGAAACGCATGCGCAAGAGTTGGTGGCCGTTCGACAGCCACGCGCCAAGACGCAACGATTGCAACTAAAGACTAATTATGATAATTTTGAGTAATTAAGGGCTAAATATATATTTTTTTGTATTGTTTTTTGTTTTTTAAGTTTATAAAATATAATTGCGTATAATAAACGATTAGATGGGTTTAATGTATGAGATTTTCATGAATTTTTAAATGTATGCAAATGCAGTTGTATGCTTAAATATGTATGTATGTATGTATGTATAACTAATTGATTAATGAATAAAATTATTTCAAGTCAGTAAATTACTAATTTGTTAAACGAAATGGAAGAATTATAGATTTTTTGTGGAGTAGTCAAAGACTAAAAATTTTTGAGAAGCAACGCTACGTAGCGAATTTTTGTTGTACTTTTTTGAATAAAAATGAATGCCAATTGTTCTTTATGTAGAACCATAAAGAAAATCCATGCAGTATTTGATTCTGAGAGGGAAAGCTGCGCCAAAATTTTAGAAAGTTCTTTCAATAGCCATACTTTAGGGTAGAAAGTTGTTGCGTATGTATGTACGTATGTATGTATGGGTGGCAATGTGTCTGCAAGCTTTTGTAAGCATTTAATAAAAAAAAACGATGCCATTAGATGTACTTACCTTCACATATGGAGCGTATGTTCTATAACGTAGGCATTGATATGTATCTTGATATGGGCGGCAGCTTGGCTTGAGATTTTATAGTTTCACTAAACACTAATTTAAAGCTAAATTATTGTACAACTAAATGTTACGCTTAATTACGGCAACGCTTAATGCTACAGAAATGCAGTCATAGTAGTCAACCTAAATTCGCTCAGCGATTATTGCGTTTTATTGCAGAAGCTTTCTCTACTTCCACACTTCCACACTTCCTCCTTTCCTCTCCATCCCACCTTACACCCTCCTACCGCCGGCTGTTCAACATCTGCAAGTAGTACTCGCAGTTGGTGCAATACACGGCTGGCGCAATTACATGCCGCTTTCGGCACAAATTACACTCCACCGCCTTGGCCGAAGCCTTGACGATGGCATTATTGTAGACGCGTGTGGGAATAGCGGTCACATTAACGCTACTATCTGCGGCCGCCGCCATAGCCATGACCGACGGCAGACCATTCTGTTGTGCTGCGGCTGCGGTGGTGTTGGCGTTGCCCCCACCCGCTGTGAGATTCATCGGTGGTTTCGGTGGTAGCGCCACTGTTGAGTTGTTGTTGCTTCCATTACACAGCGAGTCCGTTTCGCCTTTGGTGCCCGGCTCAAAGCTTACCTTCTTCTGATGCGATGCCTTGGTGGTGTGTTGTGGCTGTATGTTGACGCTCATGGCTAGCGCGGCGGCTGCGCTCTGCGGCACGGGAAAGTAAGGTGAGGGAGCGGCGCTACTGCTGTGATGGCTAGCTGTTGGTGAGGGATAGGGATGTTGCGGCTTCTGCATGCTGTTGGCGGCCGATGGCGGGAATTGTTCGCTGGCGTAGCCGTGTGGCAAAGGCACGCGCTGATAAGGTGATGGCAAAGGTGGCGCGTCCAGTCCTGGTACGCCTGGATAGTAGGCGACGTTCGGTGTAAATTGTTGTTGTTGTTGTTGTTGCTGCTGCTGCTGTTGTTGTTGCTGCATATGTTGCTGATGCTTCTGCAATTGAACTGAGTAGCTTTGTTGCTGCTGCTGCTGCTGCTGTTGGTGACTCAGGTGGCTGCGCGGTATGCTCACATAGCTAGATTGCGCGTCCAAATGTTGTTGTTGCTGTTGTAATTGCTGCTGCTGCTGCTGTTGCTGAGCTGCTAGCATCTGCATATGTTGCTGCGTGGCAACATTAGCGATGCCGCTCATGCTGGTGCGTGCTGCAAGCAAAACATGATTCGCGCCGCCGCTGTTGTTGTTGTTGTTGGCATGCATGCGCTCATCAAATTGTGAATGCTGCTGATGCGCTGGTGGTAAAGGTGGCGGCGCCAGCTGTGCAGCGTACTGTTGCAGCTGGTGTTGTTGTTGCATGCGATATATGTCCTGCATGGGCGCGTACACCTGCCCTGCTGGCATGTATGGCAGAGCCGACTGCTGTTGCAGCTGCTGCTGTTGTTGCTGCTGTATCTGTTGCTGCTGTTGGCGCAGCGCTTCCAATTGTGGTCGCTGCAACTGCACATAGCGCTGCATATCTTGGCCCTGCAGCGGTACAGCGCGTCGATCAGCACCAAGCATTGGCGACTGCTGCGCCAAAGGAGGTGCCAATGGCGGTTGGTGTTGTTGTTGTTGCACTAATGGCGGCAGCGGTTGTACGATACGCGGTTGCGCTTCGGTTGGCAGTCGTATCATGTTCTGTTGTTGTTGTTGAATGAGCTGCGCTGTCACATTCTCGTTGGGATTTTGCGCCGTACGTAGCACGCGTTCCAAAATCGGATTCGGTATGAAGTCGTCGTCCTCTTCATTATCCGCTGTTGCAACGAGTATCACTTGATCGCAGAAGGAAACGCTCTTCTTCTTGACGCGCTTGGGCAAAGCAACAGACGGCGCATTTTGCTCCGCGCATAGTTGTGGCTGTTGCTGTTGCAGTTGTTCTTGCGGCTGCTGCTGATGCTGCACAGTAGGCGAATGGTTCAAAGTTTGCTGCACCATTGTGTTAAGCATTTCGACCTCACGCAACTCTTCGGCGATCTGCGACTGCGGTACTTCGTATTTCGGCTTGGGCAATACCTGGTGTGGCGGCAGGCGCTGAAGGCGTTGTGGCGCGCAGTCCACTTCATCTGCCTCGGGTTTGGGTGGCAGTGGGGTGCCGGACGTGGCTGTTGGTGACATAACGTTGTGCTGCATTGGCGGCAGACCATTCATTTGCGTGCGTATCGGCGGCTTTGGGGCATTGAGCAGCTCCTGTGATGAGTAGGAGCGCAGCGGTTGCTGTTCACCTGCACTGCTGGCCGACTTAGACTGCTCGAAGCGGTGCGTCAGTTCGCGCACGCCGTTGGACTGCTGCGTCAGCTGCGCGACTGGCGAATCTGTGGCACGTTGTGCATTTCTGAGGTCAGTTTGCTTGGCCTGCAACTCCTTGAGCCAATTAGAGGCATCGCATGTGGGCGTGGCCTGTTCTTTGCGCATTTTCATGAGCTGGTGACGCTGCTGCAGCTGTGCCAAAATGCTGCTGGTGCCCTCCAGAGTCTCCATGTTGCGTTGCTGTTTGTTCGCTTCCAGCACCAGTATCTGATTGATTTGATGATTCAGTGGCTCGAGATCGATCTCCGGCGGTGGTGGTGGAAAATCTTCGCTGGCCTGTCGCGAGTGGCAAACTGACTGCGGTGGGCTCGGATATGGCGGAAGTTCCAGCGGAACTTCGGTTGGATTACTGCCGCTGCCATTGCTGTTGCCATTACTTCCGCCAGATATGCCTTCAACTTCATCTCTGCCCAGCTCAGTCGTTGTGGTGGCATAACCGTTGTGATGTTGGTACTGACCCGCGCTCACGCCGTTCGATGTCTGGTACATGTTGTCCTTCGGCGGACTCTGTTCGTTGTGCACCTGCGCGCATGTCGTGATAATGGTCTGGCACGAGTCTTCGCTAATGGAAGTGTTTGAGCTCATGACGGAAATGTTAGAGAGATTTGCTTCATGGTGGAAGTGTTGTAGCACTGCTGCGTCTTGCTGCTGCTGCAAAGCCAATTGTTGCTGCAGTTGTTGTTGGGTGAGCGCGGAGCTCGTGCGCATTGGTGGTGGTGGCGCGACCTTAGCGACTACAGTCAACTGGCGTCCGCTGCCGTGGAAGCTCTTGCGCATAAGCTTACTGCGCTCCAAATTCGGATTGGCATTGTTCGAGTCGCGATTTTCGAAGTGACCCTCCGAGATGTAGCCGCTCATGCCGTTCTTGCCATTCAAACCCACAGAGCTGTCGTCCACCGAAGTGGCTAGTGGTGGAGGCGCCTCCTTCTGGGTCGTTGCATCATCACCTGCCTCGGTTAAATCGGGCATGGAGCGATTTTTGCGGCGTATTAGGCCGCCCATCAAAAGCTTGCGGCGAATTTTATGCTGCTTCTTTCCATTCTTATCCTTCTCCTTCTTTTCGTCCTTCTCCTCCTTGTGCTTCTTAAGCGTATCCTTTGCGTTGACGAGCAATGTTTCAGTCAACGAGAATTCACGCGTCAGCTTATTACGATCTTCGCTGCGGCTGCGCTTCTCCTTCTCCGACTTGTTGCTGCTGCGGCCGAATAATGAGCGGCTCTCGCGCTCAGGCTTAGCTGCCACCGGCTGTGGTGATTCATATTCGATGGCATTGTCATCACTAGCATTACCTACCGCAGCTGCTAAAGTCTTCAAGGGGCTCTTTTTCTTGGGCAGCGTGGCATAGATTTCGATGCTCTTATTTGCGGCTGCGGTGGCGGCTGCTTGGGCTGCCTGCGTCGGCGTCTTGTCCAATGTCTTGTCCTTACTATTCTGGCGCACATGTTTCACGCTGCTGTTGCTGCCCTCACGCATATGCTTCATCTCCGGCATGGCATCCATATCAGCGCCCTTCTCAACCAAAATACGGCGGTGCAGACTGCGTGCGCGCATCACGCACGTGTTGTGTTTCATGCGTGCAAATGTCATGGTGTGTGGATTGCTGTAGGGGGCATCCATGGCGGCGCGTGCCCGCCCAGCGGCTGCGTTGCAAAGTACCAGTGCGGTCTCTAGATCGTGTGACTCCTCGACAAGACGTGATTTCTCTAGCAATTGGTCGGCCTCGTGGCAGAGCTTTTCGCAATCACCGGAGAGTGTTTTGGATCCACCAGCCTCAGGTATCTTGGCGAGCTGTGGATTCAAATGATGCTTCGGCGGATACGAGTCGGTTGAGCTCAGCGAAAACGAGTCATAGCCGGGGTCGTAAGGCAACCCATTGCGTGTGGGACTCTGCGGCACGGCGGGCGGATTGCGTTTGCCCACCAAATACAGGTAAGGATTATCCAAAGTGGTGGACGAAGCGGAGCTTGCGCTATTGCGATCGCCTGACCAGTTGCCCGAGTCTCGACGACGCGGCTGATTTAAGTGATCGGGCATGGTTAGGCCATCGCTTGGTGGCGAGGAGCCATTCGAAGAACCGCCGCTGACATGGCCGGATTCAGCACTCTGACTGCGTTGCAGCTGAAGGTGATACTTGCGTACCAGCTGCGCATTGAGTACTTTGCCGATTTTGTGCGTTAGCGTGTCGGCGTCTTTCCCATCTGCTGGCTGATTCGTAACTCCGCCACTATTATTGGCAAATATTTTGTCCTGCACGACACTCAAATTCTGATACTGTTGTGCATTTAAAACATGCTCGACAGTCTTACGACTAATGTAAGCATCGGTCTCATCGTTGCTGATCGTCGGCGTGGCTGCGGAAGCGCCGGAAAAGATACTCTTCTGTATGACACTCAAGTTCTGATAGTCGTTGGGTGAACGCAGTGGTGTGGGCGTAATGGCACGACGAGTGTTACCCAAGTTGGGCTTCTCCGGTGTGATGGGACTTGGTGTGATAGCGCGGCGCACGATGGTGGATTGATTGGTCTCGGGTGCGAATTGTGCACCCCCCGATGGTGGCTGTGGCACGGCGTAGAGCAGCAGTAGGGGTTGATAGTGACCGCGGCTGCACTTGTCGACAACACCCTCCCAGTTGGGACCGACCTGGGTAGAGAGAGAGAAAAATAAAGAAATAAATTAATGAGACATACTACTTAAGAAGTTGCAGAAAAAAGTGAAGTGCGTTACTTACCTCCTTCACATTAGCATCATCGAAGTACACCCACACTTTGAGTTTGGTGTGGAAGAAGAAGGTCGTGTAATGTTTGCCGTAATACGAGACAATGCCGACCAGTTCGTGTTGTACATTTTGCGCCCAACGCTGTTCGGCGACCTGATGGAAAACGTCCGATAGACGTAAGCTGGTGCCGATGGCTTTGAGTACAGCATGCACTTGATCGGCGGCGGGACGTTCCGAGTCCCACACAATGCCAATAGAGACAACATCGGGACGATTGAGCAGCGCGCGGCAAATGCCGATTTTGGCGCCACAAGCGTTCTGCGAGAAGTGAAGAAAAGCAAGTTTGAATTTAAATAAATTTGGATTAATATTTAAATAAATAGTAGAGGCATTAAAGGAATGTAGGCGCCACTTACCGGACAGTCTCTGATGTCACCCATATTGCCAGCGGCGCGCAACAATTGACCAAAAGTTAGCTGCTGATGATTCTGCAATGCCAAGCTATTTTGTGAGGTCAACGCCGATGCTGAAACATAGTGAACCATCTGGAAAGAAAAGGCAAGTAGAAATATGAATTGGTTGTAGCCCAAATATGTGTTTGCTTGTTTTTGACTAAACAAATCTTAGTTATCTATATATGTATAATTAAAAATTATATGT